TGGTTAACTGTATACGCTGACGGTACATGCTCACGGTTGACGGTACAATTCTATGGTTGACTGTATAAACTAACGGTACATGCTCATGGTTGACGGCACACTTCTATGGTTGACTGTATACACTAACGGTACATGCTCACGGTTGACTGCACACTTCTATGGTTGACTGTATACACTGACGGTACATGCTCACGGTTGACTGTACACTTCCATGGTTGACTGTATACACTAACGGTACATGCTCACGGTTAACTGCACACTTCTATGGTTGACTGTATACGCTGACGATACATGCTCACGGTTGACGGCACACTTCCATGGTTGACTGTATACACTGACGGTCTATGCTTGCGGTTGACAATACATGTTTAGGGTTGGTGGTACATGCTTGCTGTTAACAGTATATTGTGATTGATGATACACATTTTGGTTGACAGTACATGTACAGTTGACTGAATACATTAACAGTACACTCACGGCTGGTGATACTCATTTGTGGTTGACTGTATACGTTAGCAGTGCACACTCGTGGTTGACGATACACATTAATGGTTGATGGTGCATGTACAGCTGACTGTATTCGTTAACAGTTCATGCTCACGGTTGACTGTTCATGGTCAAATGTACCTGGTTGACTGTATACACTGATGGTCCACGCTCACGTTTGACCATACATACACCTTTAGCATGACTGAAACAGTTTGTGTCCTAACAAACGGGGTGTTCTGCAGCTTACGTTCCCATTTCAAGCAAATGGTGTTTTCCGTATTATTGCTTTTCATGTATCGATGATGGTTGACAGCCCGCACTCACGGTTGATGATACATGTTTAGGGTTAGCGATACACGTTTGCTTGACGGTATGCCTTCAGTGCGACCGGAACGATTTGAGTCCTCCTCCATCCTCACAGGATGTTCTGCAGCTTTCTTTGCATGCTAATGGGTTTCCCTTCTTTCTTTCTTTTCTTTTTTTTTACTATTCATGTACCGGTTCCCTTTGAATTCTCCCCGCAGGGCGATCAAAGCGTTCCAGGAGGTGCTGTACATCGACCCAGGCTTTTCCCGGGCCAAGGAGATCCACCTTCGCCTGGGTCTCATGTTCAAAGTGAACACAGATTACGAGTCGAGCCTAAAGGTACGACCCGAAGCGTTTGCTCTAACGAGGAGCTGGGAAATGGAGCCATTTTATCAACTTGTTAATTTTTTTATTGTCTTGCAGCATTTTCAGCTGGCTTTGATTGACTCCAACCCCTGCACTTTGTCCAAAGCTGAAAGTAAGCTCTTTCCTCTCCAGCAGCTTCTTTATTAGAATAATTACCTGCTTTGTGTTTCCTCATCGTTTGGTATCGCAGCATTTCTACATCGCCACCGTCGGCTCCTCTCTCTCGCTTCACTACCTGTTACCTTGGCGACGGCAATATCCATTTTCGCCCAGCCTCTCCGTTGCCGTTTGCCTCCTCGTTTCTGCACATAAATATCAAGGGCAGCCCCGATCTTCCACCCCTCCTTTCTTTCCCCCCTCGTTTATAACTCCCTCTCTCCCTCCATCTGCTGAGAGTCACTCAGGCAGCTTAGATCAGACACTGCGGCGCTCCAGACAAAGGAAGGTGCCGTCAGGCGCACACCTTGCCTACCTTTGGGTTTGTTGAACTTGACGTAGACGAGCGAGCTTCGTTTTTTTTTTGTTGTTGTTGTTGTTTTTTTACTTTTCCAAAGAGTTTCCGAAGAGAATCAAAACTGCAAAACATATTGTTTTTCTGAAATGTTTCCTGCCCAACTCATCTCTGTTCTTTCTTTGCAGTTCAGTTCCACATCGCTCATTTGTATGAGATTCAGGTAAGACATTTACGTCTTTTTTCCATTTTGTTTTGTTTTAGCAGAGGGAACGTGCGCTTCTGTTGTCCTTGCACTCAAGGGTACAGAGCAGGATTGTTTTATTTTGTTTCATTTGTCATTGAGGCAAAAGTTCCAGAAAGAATTTTAAAAAATCAATTTAAGCAATTTAGAGGACAGAGCTTTTGTTTTTACTTGATGCATCGAGGCGAGATCAGGGTGCATGAGTGAGTGGGTGGCATAGCAGGAGGAGGGGGGGGGATATAAGATTAGCCGATGATCGGGGTTGCCACGGAAACAGTGAAGTCTGTCTCGCCCTCTTTTGTATGCTGGTGGTGCCTTTCCTCTCATGTGTGGAGCAGCGCCTCTTTGCAGCATAGGTGCATGAGCAGAAAGGGCCGTGCACTTTATTATTCAATTCAGTTTATTTATATAGCGCCAAGTCACAACATAAGTCTTTATATCTTTAAGACATGCTTGTAGTCTAAGTAGCTGATTGGATTCATTGGGTTTCATGGACAAATATAACTGTGTATCATCAACATAACAATGAAAAATGTATCCCATGCTGTTGAATAACTTTACCTAATGGAAGCATATACAAGGTAAAGTATTGGTCCAAGCACTGAACCTTGAGGAACTCCATAACTAACTTTGGTGTATGAAGATTCATTATTTACATTTACAAATTGGAATCTATCAGATAAATATGATTTAAACCAATTTAGAGCCAATTTAGATTGTTTTTATTATTTATAACTAGGCCTGTCGCGATAATGAATCAATTAATCGCATGATAAATTAAAATTATCAGCCTCGTTTTCATTTAACGGCTTTATCAATTCTTCGTGTCTCTCTCTTTCTACTGAAGACACTGGATGACAAAAGGCTCAACTCCCGTGTTCTTCACTGAACTCTCCCTTTCTCTTTTCTATTTAAAATCTGTTTTAACCGTCCAAAATTGAGTTTTCGGATCATTAAAAGAAGCTAAGCTACGAGCTAGGCTAACAGGCCGACCTTGGGGAAAAAAACTGTTTTGTCGAAGCTCCAAAATTCACGGCTGAAACCCGTGCCTTTGTGTAAAAAGTAGTTTTTCTCTGCAAAAAGAAGCTGAGAACTTGTTTACTGATTTTTTTTTTTTAATTAAAAGCTTTGTGTGACAAATGCTATGCTAAAGAGCTCAAACCACACTGAGCAGCCGCCATTTTGAGAACTGAAAAACAGGAAGGAGAGACGGCCCATGTCACGTCAAGGGGCCTCCCATTTTTCTTAAGAGACACGTTGCTCGCTCCCTCACTATCCATCCTTCGGTTCAGTTAGTCTTATACTGCCATCCGGTGGTCAAAAAAGGTACTACACAAAACAAATTTAACATTTCTTCTTAAATTTGACAATAATTGCTAATTATTGTCAAATTTCAAACAATATTATCGTTTATCGCAATAATTTCTGAGACAATTAATCGAACAGCAACATTTGTTATCGTGACGGGCCTAACTCTAAATCTTCCACAAGTCTTGGGAGTCAATTATTTATTTTTTTAATGTCACCCCCAGAAGAGATACCGAGCTTCCAAGGAGGCTTACGAGAGCCTCCTGCAGACGGAGGACCTCCCTGCGCCGGTGAAGGCCACCACCCTGCAGCAACTAGGTAAGCCTTTTAAAAGTTTCCTCAGCAACTTTCCTCCTAAGAGCCGGAGAAACGCTAACGAGTGGACGAACTGCTCCCAGGCTGGATGCATCACACGGTGGAGCCGCTCGGGGACAAAGCCAGCAGGGACAGCTATGCCATTCAGTGTCTGCAGAAATCTCTGGAAGCTGACCCCAACTCCGGACAGTCCTGGTACTTCCTCGGCAGGTGCGGGCCTCTTCCCTACAGCCGTCTCGGTCTTGCAGCGATAGTTCTGCGAGTGTGTTTAAAATTGTTCTTATCGAGATCCGTTTTGCTTCTGAACGTAACTCGTTCCGCCATTTTTGTGCCATTTCAATGATTCGTGTGTCGAAACGTTTTCCGGCTCTGATGTTTGGTGTTTGTGCACTTTTTAGTTTTTGGAATGTTTAGCTTTGTCGGCCATGTTTTTCTCATTGAAAATGAATGGCGCTCTCTCTTCACGTCCTTCAAACCTTTCAGCTTTTTACAGCCATTTACTGCTCAAGTTCATGCAGAATAATCCAGGTATAAATCCAGCAATGTTTAGTTTTATTTTGTTTTTTTGCTGAGACATTTCATCATTCATCCAAATTACTTTTTTTTTTTTTTTTTTGTCTTTTAGCTAATGTTTTTAGGTATTTTTCAGCTAATTTTAGCTTTTTTTTTCTACTTCACCAAAGTTCATGCTGAATAATCCAGGTATAAATCCAGCAATGTTCAGTTCTTTTTATTTTATTTTGCTGAGACGTTTCATCATTCATCCAAATGACTTTTTTTTAGTCTTTTAGCTAATGTTTTTAGGTATTTTTCAGCTAATTTTAGCTTTTTTTTCTAATTCACCAAAGTTCATGCTGAATAATCCAGGTATAAATCCAGCAATGTTTAGTTTTATTAATTTTATTTTTTTTGCTGAGATGTTTCATCCTTCAAAGGACTTTTTCAATCTGAGGAGCCACCAAACCAAACTGATTTGAAACCAAATTATTTTTCTGGTCATTATTCTAATTTCAGCCTTTTGTGCTTCTAATTATTTCAACTTTTCATCCTTTGCAAATTTCATCTACCCTTTTATTTTTTATTTTTAGCTTATTTCAGATTTTTTTAGCCTCTTTTTGCCTATTTCTGCTCATCCTGCTGTTTTCAGCTGTTCATATTCAACTCGGCGTCACAGTTTAGCGATGGAACCTTCTCGTGCGCTGCATACTGGACGTGCGCACCTTTCGTTTTTGGCGTTAACGTCTGGAACGTTTTGTCTCCCTCAGGTGCTACGCCAGTATTGGAAAGGTCCAGGATGCCTTCATCTCCTACCGACAGTCCATCGACAAATCCGAGGCCAGCGCCGACACGTGGTGCTCTATAGGGTGAGCGTTTATTTCAGTCCGAGCAAATTCCGTTTTTCTCGATCTTTGCGACAACGTGGCGCTCCCTCTTCCCGTCAGGGTGCTGTACCAGCAGCAGAACCAGCCCATGGACGCTCTGCAGGCCTACATCTGCGCCGTGCAGCTGGACCACAGCCACGCGGCGGCCTGGATGGACCTGGGCACGCTGTACGAGTCCTGCAACCAGCCGCACGACGCCATCAAATGCTACATCAACGCCACGCGCAGCAAGGGCTGCACCAACACCGCCGCTCTGACGCACCGCATCAAATGTCTGCAGGTGGGTGGAACGGGATGTCTCTGCGGTGACGTGGGTGGAGGACGGGTGGAGAGCGTCGCAGACCGTAAACACGAGTTTGAATGTCATAAATGAGCTCCATCAGCTGGTTTAGTGTGTCCCAGCGAAACCTAAATGCTGTTTAATATCCCTTCAAAACTAAAAGGAATCATTTCTATTGAATCCCTTTATAAACCCTTTACTATTCAGAGGGTTCCTTTCGTACGGCACCTCATGCTCACTACTAACGGGGAATATTCTGCTTCGTGCAACATAACCCCGGAAAATATATAAATATTCAAACAGCAGGCCTTGAATAAAGCAGGTTGTAGATTACTGAAATAATCTGCAGACAGAAGCAGTTGAACTTGTTGTTTAGTCGAGTTTCTTCAGGTGGAACGATTTATTCACTCCATAAATGAAATTACTAGAGAAATTTCATGTCCTGCGAAAATGCAGTGCAAGTACTTATTGATGAAAAACGGCTGAAATGAGCTAAAAACAGCTGAAATGAGCTAAAAACATGCTGAAATGGAAGAATAAGTTAGCAGAAGAAAGCAGAAAGAACACACGTGCTGAATTAGGTTTAAATTAGCAGAAATGAGCACAAAAATTAGGAAGTTAGCTCAAAAAGATTAAATTAGCAACAACAACAAAAAGTAGCTGAAAAGGCAGAAAGAAGCTTAAACTACCCGAAAGAAGCGGATAGAGATGAAATGAGCACAAAAAACGTGGAATTGGCTGAAAAGGTTAAAATTAGCATTAAAGCAACTACCTTATTTTCCGGACTATAAGTGTAAGTCGCATTTATTTAGAAGTGCATTTCACAAAGTGCAAGAACAGACATTTAGTCTGAAATAACAGTAACACACAGAACAGACCTGGGATCCTGAACAGGAGAAATGAACATAACAAGCAGACGAGTCCGACAAGAAAGTTTCCATTCCACATCACTTTGGAGGCATTTTGCTTGTGTTAAGTTTTTTCAGTTATCTCTAAGTGAATGTGTGTGTGTGGGTGGGGGGGGTTGTAGCGGTAGAGGAACAACATAGTTGTCAAAAGCCTAGAGGACCCTCTCATGGCCGCAAATGTTAATGTTTACTCTAGTTCATGTGTATGAATGAACATTTACCTCATCAGTCAAAAATTGCATCATGAATAGATAAAAAAAAAAAAACGTATACAAGTTACTTAGGACTATAAGTCTCAGAACTGGCCAAACTATAAAAAAAAATGTGACTTGTAGTCCAGAAAATACGGTAAATAGTAGCGGAAATATAAAAAAAAAAGCTTAAACTAGCAAAAATAAGCTGAAAGGAGCATAAGCTGAAATTATCTTAAAGACGGTAATTGGGTTGAAAGTAGCAAAAATTACCATAAAAATTTTGATTTAATCAGAAAACAGCTGAAATTAGCCAAAAACATCCGAATAGCAGCTAAAAATCAGAAGGAAGCTGAAATTACCAGAAGGAAGAGGAGAGCACATTTTTGCTGAATTAGGCTGAAAAAAGTTGAAATGAATGCAAAAAATGTGGAGTTAGCTGAAAAATCTAAAATTAGCATAAAACAGCTGAATAGTAGCTGAAATAGCATAACGAACTGAAATTAGCTGAAAGAAGTTAGAAGAAGCACAAAATATTGTAGAAAGAAAGAATCTGAAAGGAGCACAACGCAGCCGAAATGTAGCTGAAATGGAAAAACAAGCCTGAATTAGCAGAAGAAAGCAGAAAGAACACATATTTGCTGAATTTGGTTTCAATAAGAAGAAATGAACGTATAAATTATGAAATTACCTTAAAAAAAAGGCTAAAATTAGCAACAACAACAACAAAAGAACTTTAAAGGCAGAAAGAAGCTTAAACTACCAGAAGGAAGTGGAAAGAACTGAAATGAGCACAAAAAATGTGGAATTAGCATAAAACAACTGAAATAGCAGAAAAAGCTCCAATTACCGTATTTTTTCGGTATATGTCGCACCTTTTTGCATAAATTTGCAAGTCCTGACTTATGCACAGAAGCGACTAATATTTTTCCCCCCCCCATATTTATAAACCAATTTTTGGCTGAGATCTGACTATTTCATTCATTCTGACATGGAAAATATTGAACACTACCATTTTCAGCCACTAGGGGGCACTTGAGTAATATGGCAAGCCAAATGTCTCATTAATAGGTAAAAGTGACGATTAATGAGACACTTGGCTTGCCGCACAAAGCCACCTTGGTCTCGCTCCAGAACTCCTGGAGCAAACGTCAAATCAGCTGCATTTCACCGCGTTGCCCAGGAGAAATGCAGCTGATTTGACCATTAAAGTGCATTTATTAAGGAAAAGTTAAAGTGAGACGCACCTTTACTATAATGTCGAGCAAACAAATACTGTATTTTCCGCCGTACACGTCGCTCCGCCCTACAAGTCGCATCGGTTATGCGTCATGCGTTAAACGTGTCGGGAGCCGCTACAACTGGTGGGCGTGGGCCACCTGAAGGTTTGCTGGAAGGGGCTTTTGCAGCCAGTAAGGGATGACGTTATAAAGCAAAACATATCTAAAGATTTTTAGCATTTATTAAAGAAAAAGCCCAGATTCTTGTAAAGAAGGGGGGGGGGGGGGAATCAGTCTTTACCTTTTTTAAATAAAAAAAACTATAAACTATGCAGACAGTTGTTCATATAAAGAAACAAAGCATCACGTTAATGTTTTACTCCTTGTACTCGCTCCAGAGTTCACGTTTGCAAAAGAGATGACACGAAAACGGTTTGAACGAGTCCCGTTTTGTTTGTTTTGTTATTTGTACAACAACCAATAAAATTCAGTTTATGTTGGTTTTGGTCGAAGCTTGAAAGAGCCGCTGCAGAGGGACTAAAGAGCCACACGTGGCTCCAGAGCCGCAGGTTGCAGACCCTTGGTCTAACTGTTCCTTAATAAATGCACTTTAATGGTCAAATCAGCTGCATTTGCCGGAGCGGAGCAGCGAAATGAAGCTGACTTCACGGTTGCTCCATGTGATCTGGACTAAGATGGCAGTCTATGGCAAGCTGATTGTGTCATTAATATTCACTTTTACCTATTACATGACAAAACGGCATGCCATACTACTAGAGTGACATCTAACGTCTGAAAAATGTTCAATATTTTCAATCAGAATGAATGAAAACGGTCATATCAGCCAAAAATTGGTTTATAAATATGGGAAAAGAAATCCATAAATACGTCGCTTCGCCGTATGAGACGCAGGGCGTGTAAATTATGCAAAATCTGCGACTTATGGTCGTAGATGCAACCTATACAGCGAAAAGTACGGTAGCTGAAAGAAGTTAGAAGAAAAAGAAAAATGTTGAAGTTAGCTGAAAGGAGCACTGAAAGTAGCTGAATTTTTTTAAAATTTACACAAAGGAGCTGAAGCAGAGCAAAATGTGGAAGGAGCAGTAAAAGGTTGTAAACACATTAAATATCTGAAGGACGTAAAATGAGCTCAGTTCATTCTCTGTGAGGGAAAAAAGTGGCAGAAAAGGGTAAATATTTCAAAAAGCTAAAGTTGCACCAATACCAAAAGTCACAGCTGAAAGAGCTGAACGTTTTGATTCACGATTTGCTGAAATAGCTGAAAACTGCGGGACGAGAAAGACGCTGAAAAACGTACAGGACCCAGAATAATAAAGATGAACAGGACCACAACAGTGTGAACGCTTTGACACGACGAGGGGTTCCAACGGCCTCGTGTTGCTTCATCCCTATTCCTGTCGTTTCTCTTTACATGTGCATGAAGGAATGCCACACCTCCACCTCGTGTGTTAGCATAATATCATTGCATTAAGACAAGCGGAGCGGCTTGCTTTAATGGATTTGTCGCTAAATGTCATTCCGGTTTTAATGACGATAACCGTCATAGTTACCATTGCTGATCATTTCCTTGTTTGAGGTCATCAGTTCTTTTTAATTTAAGCAGCTTTGTCCTTGATTTTTTTTTTTTTTCTTTTTGTTTTTTCACGTCGTTTTCCATTCCCTTAGGCTCAGTTGAGTAACCCCCAGCTCAGTAGCCTACAGGGTAAAAGTAAAATGCTCCCTCTTATTGAGGAGGCGTGGAGTCTACCAATCCCAGCCGAGCTCACCTCCAGGCAGGGAGGCCTGAGCAGTGCACCGCAGCAGGTGAGAGACCAGATAGAGCAACTTGCACCCCCACTTCAACCCCCCCCCCCCCCCTCCTTCCTGCAAACACGCACACACACATGTGGCTAACACTTGAGCTAAACGTCGCCTCTCTCTAAAAACATCCAGGTTTGTGAGTATTCACTCTTTCTTGCATGGGTTTGAAACGACGAGGTTCGCAGCCAAGTGTTACCCACCCCTACACCCCCTTTCTCTCTCGGCTGCACCCATCACCGGTCCAGCAGGTCTCTGTCCTCTTAAATTCTGCCCTCATGCTATTTATTTGGGGCGCTGTGATTTGCAAATCTCATTTGGGGATGTGGTAAACATCAAGCGTTGACACTAAGAAGCTGTACTGTTTGAAGAAATCAAACTTAGTTTTTGGTTTTGACGGCCAGCGACACGTCCAGGACCTGAGGAGACCGGTCTCAGAAGGACTCGCGTCCCATTCTGGTCTGATGCTGTTCAGCAGTCCTGGTTTGTCAAGCCACGTTGTAGCTAGGCCTGTCACGATAACGAATTGTCTCGGAAATTATTGCGATAAACGATAATATTGTTTGAAATTTGACAATAACTAGTAATTATTGTTAAATTTAAGAAGAAAAAAATTTAATTTGTTTTGTGTGTAGTACCTTTTTTGACCACCGGATGGCAGTATAAGACTGTTTGAACCGAAGGATGGATAGTGAGGGAGCGAGCAGCGTGTCTCTTTAAGAAAAATGGGAGGGAGGCCTCTTGACGTGACATGGGCTCTTTCTTCGGTTCTCAAAATGGCGGACGCTCGGAGTGGTTTGAGCTCTTTAGCATTTTTCACACAAAGCTTTTAATAAAAAAAATCAGTGAACAAGTTCTCAGCTTCTTTTTGCAGAGAAAAACAACTTTTTATACAAATGCACTAGTTTCAACTAGAGATGCACCGATCCACTTTTTTTTTTTTTTTTTTTTACTTCCGATCCCGATACCTAAATCTGGATATCGACCGATACCGTCCTGATATCATCGTCATTGATTTTATATGAAGACGTAATAATCTCCTCTCAAGTACAATTTGTACAAATATAAGCATGCATGTCAAAAAAGGCAACACGAGGTAAGTTTTATTAATGTTGGATACGTTTCAAAGTTAGAATTAAATCCTGCTAACACAAAACATGTTTGTTTTTATTCCTGGCTTTAAAGTGGATATTAAAGTGATTAGATGGCTTCAAACATCTGCTAAGTTCATGGCATTCCTTGTAATTATCAAATCATATGCTTTTTTATGATTGTCTACAGCTGTACTTTTAAATATCTCCTGGAGGGTAAACTATATCTTAGCTGCAAGTATCGAGATGAGAAATCCTTCGTTTTCTACAATTGATAGCGGTTGGTCATTAATTACGATGAAGTTAAGCAACTTCACGGTAAACATTTGAGCTCCGGGGCTTCAGCGGTCGGTTATTCTCGTTCAGTCCGGAGAAGGCAGTCTGATTTCGGTCAGCCGCGCTCAGTCTGCCC